CAAGATTTGAACCCAGGTCTTTCTTGACTTGCTCTTCCATTAAACCAGGCTGCCCCTCCTATTAAACAACCAGCTGATCTTAAAATATTTACATAACAGATGAATACCACTTTATCTTCCAATATTGCCACATAAAACTACAAGAATTCAATTTTGCAATTTTTTTTATTGTTACTTAATTAAAGTTCTGGAAATGCTGTAAGATGATGAAGAAAACAAGACAAACAGGTCTCAGTTTATATTAACCCCCCCAAAAAAGGTAATGTAATACATATAATGTAATACAATGTCAATACATACATCTGTTTTCAAAACTGCAAGGTGGTTTCAACGTTCAAGTTATTAAACTCTCTATCCAGAGTAGTAAAGGGGAATGATGCCACAGATAATTCAAGAATCATTTCTATTTGGCTTTGAAATGTTTTTATGCCTCCATTTTAATGGAATGGGTGAGTTTCGTGTTCTAGGAAACACAACACTTCAAACAAAATAATGAAACCACACTATGAAAGCCAACAAAGTAGATGAGAAGCTGTAGGCTACTTCTGATACATCAGGTTTGTAAAACTTTTTCAGCTTAGAGACACTATCATTGATAATCAAAATTCCATCTAAAATTTTTGACGCTCACTTCTTACACTACTTAAAATTTGTATGTCAAGTTATTCTTTCTGATGATGCAACATGCTATTCGCTTCTTAGCAGCAAGGTGATAAGACAAGAGATTGAGGACAAAGATGTGCATTTTCAGAGAAGGCCAATGTGTTGATTTGTTTTGTATGACTACATACATTTTTTTTTTTAAACCAGAGAGGCCTTCTATTTGGGGAGTGAAAATGAGCAGTAGAGATAATGATGCAGAAAAAGAATATCAATGAAATACTTTAAAAAACCTACAAGTCAGCAGAGAAAAGTTCAGAAAAGGACATAAGACAAGCAGGGCCATTTTCTTCCTACCTTAAAATTAATATACACTAAAAATACCTAGTTCAATGTTAACAGAAGCTCAGTTTCAAATATAATCCTCTTTTCTGTTCTTTGTATGTTGAAATAATTCATTTTTGCTGATATTTCTTAAGTTTCTTAATGAAAAGGAAATTTGTTTTAAAAGAAAGGTAATATTTTCTTGAAAAATAGATATGAAGGCAGCTAGGTGGCACAGTGGATAGAGCACCTGCCCTGGAATCAGGGTTCAAATCCAGCCTCAGACACTTGACACTTACTAGCTGTGTGACTCTGGGCAAGTCACTTAACCCAATCGCCTCACCAAAAACAAACAAAAAGAAAAGAAAAAGAAAAAGAAGAACGGATACGAAAAATGTTTAGCATGCTACTTTTCTGGAAAACGAATTTATAGATGCATATTATGTTGAAGATGGTAATTTTAAGTTCATTTAAAACCAGTATTTATCCATCTAGAGTTTTGTACTGCCACTAATGTCATTTGGGTTTAACCTCAAATTCTACATTCTCTCCATAGCCTAATGCTAGTGTCTTCCCTCTGAGAATACTGCCAATTCACCCTACTGTTTGCACATCACTGTTTGCTCTTCTCTGCCCCCCCCCCCCATTAAACTATGAGTTCCTTGAGGGCTAGGGCTATTTTTGCTTCTTTGTATCCCTAACCCCTAATAAAGAGCCTGGAAGCCAGCCCTTGAAAAACAAAAGCTGACTGACCTACTATAAAAATGTGTAACTTTCTTTTACAAAAACTAATTTTTCATATACTAGTTAGTAGAATATAGCACATCAGAGTGTTGAGCAAATTATAACTCAAAACCTCTTCATTTATAAAATTTAATAATCTAAGAAAAGCTATATCATAGACTATACATGATGGTCACAGTCATTAAATTATGACCTATGAGGCAGGACTTTTATTTGTCGGAACCCTTAATTTCTTGGGCATAAGGAACTTCAGGTGAGGAAGTTTCCTCTAGCCTATCAAAACAGATCCTTGCACTACTCTCCAACCTAAAGCCCTTCAGAGTTGCCTGGGGCGCTGAGAAGGTAAGGGAAGGGCCCAACATCACCCAGGTACAATGTGTCAGAGCTGGGACTTGAATGAAGGTGTTCTTCCCTGAATCTGGAGCTTGCTCTCTATAGGATACCTACTGTTTCTCTCTTAATTCTGAAACTTGACGGCCAATCACGAGACACCACCTTTTCATTTTTGTCTTTGTATTACCTGCAAATAACATAGTAGGAGCCGAAGAGATGAGGTGCTACCACTCCCCTTTCATTTTATCTGTTTTCTCTAAGGATCGCTACAAATGTGCCAGCAAGGATGAAATGGCACAAGTTATCCACATGTCCAGGAAACAGTGGGAGCTTTAGAAACAGTGGGAGGCATTAGGAATGATCACAGGAGTTTACACATTCCTACACCATTAAAATCACATATTTCCAAACTGGAAACTAAAGGTGTGCCCATCTACTGGGTAATGGCTAAACAGATTCTGCCATCAGAAATGGTGGAATAGATAGTTTCAGAAGAAACTAAACTGGGAAGACCTCTATGATCTGTGGGAAAATATAGTCAGTCAATAAACAGTATGTGCCTACTATGTGCCAGGCACTGTGCTAAGAGCTGGGGATACAAAGAGAGGCAAAAGATTGCTCCTGATCATCAGGAGCTCTTACATACAAAAATTGGGAGCCACTGGAGTTTGCTGAGTAGGGAGTAACATGGCCAGACCTGTGCTTTAGGAAAATTCGCTTTGGTGGCTGAATGGAAAACAGGTGGCAGTGGGGAAAGACCTGAGGCAGACAGAGCCACCGACAGCTACTGTAACAATCCAGCTGTGAGGTGATGAGGGTCTGTACCGGGAGGGGGTGGCAAGGTGAGAAGAGAGAAGAGGACTGTTTCAAAGGGCAAAGGTGAAATCAATAAGCTCTGGCAACAGATTGGATATGGGGGGGAGGGGTATGAGAGTAAAGAGCAGAAGATGATGCCTAGTCTGTGAGCCCGGGGGACCAGGTTGGTAGTGTCAATAGGGTAGTGATAGTAATAGTGAAGTATGTGAGGGGAGATTTTTTTGGGGGGAAAAAGGAGGATGAGTTAATTTTTGGTCATATTAAAGATGTCTACAGGACATTCAATTCCAGATGTGTGACAGGCAGTTGGAGATGCAGGACTCGATGACGGTCAGCAGAGAGTTGCAGGGGTGGGGACTTGCAGCCTTGAGGCCACATATGGCCCTCTAGGTCCTCAAGTGCAGCCCTCTGACTGAATCCAAACTTCACAGAACAAATCCCCTTAATAAAAGGATTTGTTCTGTAAAACTTGGACTTAGTCTAAAGGCCACACCCAAGGACCAAGGCCACATGTGGCCTCGAGGCTGCAGGTTCCCCACCCCTGGCTTAGGGCTTGATAAGTAGATTTGAGAATCATCGTAGAGATGATAACCTGAATGCATGGGAGCTGAAGAGATAACCAAGTGCAATAACATAAGAGGGCCCAGGACAGAGCCCCAGGACCTGGATGAAGATCCAGCAGAGGAATCTGAGGAGCAGTCAGATAGGTAGAATGAAGTGACAGAACTAGAATAATTTACATAATGACATTATGTAGAAATAAAAAAAACAACCTTTCAAAGACTTTAGAACTGATTAATACAACCACAAACCACAAGTCCAGAGGACTGAAGATGAATCATGCTACCTACCTCCTTGCCAGAAGTGATGTATTTAAAATACAGAATAAGACTTATTTTTAGACATAGGCAAAATAGAAATTTGCTTCACTGGACTACGTGTACTTGCCAAGGTTTTGTTTTTTTGTCCTTTTAATTGTTCATGGGAGAGATAACAAAAGCTCATAAATATCAATAAATTGAAAAAACAGAAAGTTTATGTCCAGATGTATGTGTATATGACATATATGCACACACATTTGGATATTTTTAAAATAAATTTTATAACATATTACGCACAAAAATAAATAGGACACTTAGTATAACTTGTTTGTTTTCTTTTCATATTATCTCCGCAGTTTCCACCTCAACTTTTCTGATCAGCACATCCAAGTTTATTTATTTAAGTTAGGAGCATCACCACAACATCGACTTAAAATATGCCCTCAGAAATAACAAGATTTAAAAAGCAAGGCACCTTAAAAAGAGAAGCAAATTCTACATCAGAGAATGACAGTTTCCTGTACACCCCTCTCTTGTCGTGCACCTATGGTGTCCTATACCAAGCATTCTCATACTACTGGTAATTATAGCGCAGTTTTTCTAAGCTAAGGAAGAGCAGCAATAAAATAAATAAAAGTGGGATTTAACCCTAAGTGGCCAAAGGTAATTTAGCTTTTCACTTCATTATTCCTCTCCTCGTGGGCTGAGACTGGACGCGGACAAGAGTCAACTAACAAAAGGCAGGCAAACATGGTGTTACAATCTGCAATACTGGGAAAGAATATCCATCCATATCGCCGAACTCGGAGCTACTGGGACACATTCTTTCCGACCAGGTATAATTACTGACTAAACCCAAGACAAGTCTAGAGCGGCGATAACCGAATTTCAGGAAAAAGAAAGCAACAGAGCAGGCTCTCTGGGACCACCAGAAACAAACGCTCCAAGAGCTGACCCAGAGCTTTTCAGAAGTCTGCTCCGAGGCGCAAAGCGGGGCGCGGTGCGTCGGGATCCTCCGGGTACCGCGCATCACGGAAGCTCCGGCTCCTCTCCATCCCGAGGGGGTTCCTGGCTGCCCCGGGGCGGGGGCTCGGGCTGTGCGCACCACAAATGTCAGCGGCTCAAACCCAGGTCCGGGGAGCCCGGGGGGAGCCCGGACACCGCGCCCCCCCCCCCCGCCGCGCACTTGAAGTCCCGCTCCCCAGCCAACCGACCGCGGCGCCCGGGCCCGCAGGACGCGGCCGGCGGCCCCCCGGCCCGCCGCCGCCGGCCGGGGCTCGGGGCCTCCAGCCCGTTCCCTTCCGCTCCGCTCCCCTCCCCCTCCGCGGCCGCCCGGCGGCGGCGGCGGCGCATCGGCCTCACCTCCGGGCGGCTCGGACCGCGGGCTCTCCGGTGGCCCGGGCCGGCAGCTCGCGGCACGGCCGGGCTCCCCCTCCGCTGCCGCGGCCCCCGCCGCCGCCGCCGCCGCCGGGATGTCAGGGGCCGGGATTGGATTTCGAAAGATCCGCCATTTTCACGTCGTCATCAGCAGCGCGGCGGCGCGACGGCGCGGCGGCAC